TTTGAATAATAATAAAGGCAGTGTTTATTAAAATACATTTCATTTTCAAAATTAAGCTATCAACTGTTAAAATGTATCTGCATTTTTGGGGACACCCTGTCTATATATATACATTTCATTTTCAAAATTAAGCTATCAACTGTTAAAGTGTGTCTACATTTTTTTGGGACACCCTGTCTGTATATAGTATTATAGAACTGTATACTTGAAACCTATATAATTTTATTAACCAATATAATCTCAATAAATTCAGTAAAAACTTTAACCAAAAAAGAATAATGCATCTGCCTGTACTCCAAAAAGGTGTGAATTTGCAGATTTACAGAGACTTTCGCTTTGCTTTAAGCCAGTGGTTCCCAACCTTACTTTGGCCATGCCCTACTTAAGCATCTCTAAAATCCTGATGCCTCTCCCCAGCCCCCTGCGTGACTTATAATTCATATTACTCAAAAAGTGAGCTCCTATTCATGTGGAGGAAGCCTAAAAGGCCATTAACTTGGTCTAGACAAGCTTCCATAGAACATGGCATCCATGAAAGAGAAAAATAAAAGAACAAAAGGACAGGTGAAGTACTAAGGAAGAAGAAATCACTAAAAAATTGTTAAAAAAATAATATAAAGTGATATGAAAAAATAGCAAATAAAGTTTCAAAACATATAATAGTGAACTGAAATGCACAATATATATTTATATACTGTATCTGAGGCCCCTAGAACCATAAGAAAAAAATTCACTGTTAATAACTCATTTTCGAATTTCCCCCCTTAAAAATCAAATTGTCCCCTGTGGGGCATGTGCCCCATGTTGGGAACCACTGCTTTAAGCTGTTTCTTTGCATGGACCCAAAACATGATCTATAGATTGAAATGAAAAGCTGAGGCAAGAAAAATGATGGGGACATTTATAGTCAGAAATGTACAGGTGAACTACAAATCCCGGGTGAGGTAGAATTAATCTGAGACTATTGGTGATGCCTATATTCAATTTAAAAATACAAAAATAATTCAAGAACCTGTTCATGCTTCTCACTAAAATAATGCTTCACGTTTTACTTGGCTTTTTCCAACAGTCAACGGTTTCTAGGCAAATCACTGTGATTTACTTTGGTCAGAGCTGGAGGTCTGTCCTCGTCATTGACGTTTCCGCCCCACTTGAGTTGGTTATCTGCGCTGGCACAGTGGGGAGGCATG